TATATGTCATAAATCACTTGATCATTTTCCTAGTTTCAAGTTCAAACTACACTTTGAATGTGTTAAATGTTGACATTATATTTGCTTTCTTCTTGATTGGATACACCCAACACCTCCCGGAGTGATCATCAACAAATGATACAAAGTAATTTCATCCTCCCAAGGATAGAATCGGGAAATGCCAAATAGCATAATGAAACAAGACTAAGATACATGAACTTCTTGTACTAAATCTCATAAACTTAAATCTATGTTGCTTACTTTCTAACACAATGCTCACAATATATTTACCAATTTATGACAAGGAAGAACCATTATAAAGGACCAAAAGCATATATAGATTTATAGCAAACTTAATAGCCTTTATAACAACAAGCACGCCTTTGACAAACTTCATGATCCATTTTTTTTCATATATCTTACAACTAAGCTCATTTCCTCAAACACTTCATGTCTCGTGCCCTTTTAATAGTACAAATTGTGCCAATACCAACAATCTCCAAGGCATGATTATCACCCAAAAATGTATTCCTTCATTAGGTCCATTCCATATTGTTGAAACCATTCTCTTATAAAAGTCATGTCAAGTTGTTGCTAAATCTACTAGTCTGGCATCAAACTGTTTTTTACCTTCCAAGACTATAGTTCCTTCATTGTATAATGCTTCAGCATCATCAAATATAATTGGTATACATGCTTGGGTATTTAGTGACTCGGGACTTTTTCCATTATATGCATTCTTCTCATTATACCAACACTTGTTATATGTCCGCGCTTGCCATGATTATAGCACTTAACAATCTTCTTACTTTTTGAACTTATATCTACTATGTCCTTCCTCAAAATTGCCTTTGTCTTCATCTTTCAAGGTAGAAATTACACTTATTGAAAACTTTGTTATCATTATACATAAGTTGATATACTTCTATTTCAAAATTGCCTTCATCATCATGTTTCAAGGGAGAAATTACACCTATTGAACTTCTATTTCAAACTTTGTTATAATTATACAAAAGTTGATATACTTCTAACTCAAATCAACTCCCACTATTCACAATGAACAATAACCCTGCAATCGGGCTCTAATACCATAAGTTAGAAACTTCATATGATGAAACAATATATAACAACAAGAAAACCATACGCCCCACATATTTGGGGTTGGCTATGTAGATTTTAGTATTGTTAAAAGCAAGACTTGTAATTTCGTACCATACCGAAGTATCGAGCTCAGCTCGGTATAGTATGGTACGAGCGTACCGCTCGATATATATATATATATATATATATATATATATATATATATATATATATATATATATATATATATATATATATATATATATATAATATAAAAAAATAAAAAAAAGG